TGAATAAAATGCGTGTTAATTTAACATATCATAAATATTAATTTTACTGAAAAAAATATGCTTCCACAGTTTACTAACAAGTTGTGTTAGTGTTACTTTTTTATATTAATTTTTTTACGTAAAATATTGATGTTACTTTGAAATATATTTGTCTTGTGTACAATTAACACAAAAATTTAATCCGTTTGGGATATGTAAAATGTGTTAAATTTAACACATTTTCCAATTGTACATAACTATTTTGACAAATTATTTTTTGGCTCAATAAAATTATTTTCAGATCTACATCTAGCTAAATTTTTAAATACATTAGTAACATCGTTCTTTCCGTAGATTTTCTAGCTTCATATTAATGCCTGTTTCCATTAATGAAGAATAATTTTAATCTCAGTTCAATTTACTCTTCATTTTTTTCTAATTCTTATTTTTAGAACTAGAAAAAGATGAAGAGCAAGTTAAATCGAAATTAAAGTTAATCCAAACTTCAACTTGCATTTGTAGAAACTGGCATAAATGCATCTTTGCTATATCATTAGAGTTTTCTCTACCGATTTCACCCGTGAGCTCAGGTAAATGACTTCCACGTAAATTTTTTCTCTTTACAGTTAGACGGTTGTGATGATAGTCAAAGTAAAAATTATATCTTCGTGAAATTTTAATTATTTTCTTTAATGAAGCCACGCGAGAGTGTATCTAATATACTTAGGATATGTTTTTGCATGCAAAAATAACGTGAAATCTCATTTACATACAGACGATTTCAAATGAAGCGAACGCGATAATATTGGTAATTATGGGAAGAACAATTTTGCTGAAGTATATTTAAAAATTTAGCTAGACAAATTTGAAAAAGAACTTCGCTGAACCATCATAATGATTATGCAGGACATTCAAGCTTGCCAGAATATCAAAACTTTTTGCAGCATCACTCATCACATTTGAGTTTCCTACACACTTATTTTGATGATCCATCAAAATTATCTTCAGATTTGTATCTACCTAAATTTTCTACTATTTTTAGATTTTCAGCGAAATCGTCTGTTTTTTTTTTTTTTTTTGGCGCGGTAATCACAGCAAGTGTATTTTTCGAAACCAAATAAAAACAATGGAACATTTTTTTTATTTCGTGTAATGTCTTTTTTATGCATAAATAGTTTGAAATGTAAACGATACCGCGACAATCGGAAACCTGCATGGTTTCACGAAGTGGATTTTGCGCGCCTACGTGATTTATGTATATACCGCGCGTATTCTCGAAATTGAATGCGAAAACAAGCGCTTCGCGCTTCTTGTTCCGTCGTCGACACAAAGGGGCTCGTCTCGATAACTTTTGCACGACGTCCGCGCATCGGAAACTCCTCCCCCCTCCTCCTTCTCTCCCCCCCTTCCCCCTCGCGAAACAACGCGATATCTCGGCTATTTTCGATACAGAGTTCACCGTGCGAAAAAAGCAAGACGGAAAACAGACGAGAAAATCGATCTCGCTGATTTCCAATGACATAGACCTTGGTCGACGTGTAACACCGTCGAGCTTCTCTTACTCTCCATTTTTCTCTCGTATCCACCTCATCCTGCGGAGTTTCGCTTCCACTTTCGCAAGAAAGTCCTCGTTTTCCTCACTGATTGCTTTCCTCTCTTTCTCTCTCACCCCCGACTCCCTTATTTCTTTTTTCTTTCGTTTGCCATCTGAAAGATTTCTGCGCAGATTGAAAATAGTGCTGTCTGTTTTGTTTTCTCCTTTCTCTCTTGTTCCTTTTTTTTTTTTATTCAGTCTTAGTTTGTCTCAGGTAGTGGATATATAAGTAGATAATTCCCTTCCTTATTAATTAAAAACGACACTAAAAAAAAATGTAATTCTCGAATTATTCAATTAGAAAAGAACGATTTGCAAGAAAAATCTTTAAAACTGTTGCAACTTAGACAGGGTAATTTTTTAGTTGTGAAACAAAAATGATATTCGATGAAATCATTTTGTAACATTTCATGGGATTGAGAATATATTCTTTTTATCGATGTTATTTTATTAGTCAATAATTTTTTGTCTAATTGAAAAAGGTTTTCTCCTTTTTATAGGAAAGTTTTTTTTTTAAGTTGCGTCGCTTTTGAATTAAAGGAGTGACATGTCGAAGTGCATGCAGAACATTAGGTTTTATTACGCTTGTTTGTGCGTGCCGATTGGAATTACTGTTACTGGATTTAAACGTTAATATTAAATATAATAGAGGAGTCTCACAATGCATTAGGCGATGCGTGCACGCAAAATTATGATGACGTATAAAGGTGTCAAACTATAACGTGGATGAGATTTTGTCATTTAATCAGCTACTGCGCTATCAATGTTACATATAACGTTACAATCGCGCGATTAATCTCTGATTGGATTTTAGTTATAGGACACCTGCCTAATTGGAGTTGTAACGAGCGGTTAGTAAAATGTTGGAAGCGAAATCGTCGAGTCGCCAAAACTATTTTGTCATTCGTTAACGATGCGTGGTATGATTTCAGCATATAACGCGGAAAATGCGGTTGCGCAACATTGTTGTGCAATATCTTGATAAGGTATTCCATGTAGTTATTTATACGATACGTTAATTCATTATCATTATTTAAAAGGAAGGAGAGTGAAATATTTAGAATTCTGAAATTATAAAAGTGTATCTTCGTCTTATAAAATATGCTTCTGAAATCTTATAAAAAGACCTTGCAAGGTTAACTTGCCTGGTATAGGAATAATTATATATGATGTGTAGAAATAATACTATGTCGCGCAAACCACTTATTTAGCTTATCTTGCGTTAGTGCAGGATTGATCTTTTTTTTTTTTTATTGAGCTATACGAGTTTGAAGTATCTAATAATGAGGCCAGACGTAGATCTAAAAATGACTTATTCATTTGTGACACTTCTCAGTTTTAATGATAATTTGAGTAATAATTCATGTACATATCATTTTTGTTAATTAACATTACCTAAGATCTCTTGATAGTTACTTTATTTTGTTAATTATTTTATTAGTTTTTATTTTGATTAAATAGAAGTATTTTAAAAAACCGTTGTTATATTTATCATTATTATTTTTACAGCAATGATAGATCTAGAAAAGCTCCTGTAACCCTCCCATTTGCATTTAAGAGACCAAAGAGATACATAGACATTTATAATTTTGCTGAAGCATCTAAAAATTTAGCTAGATACAAATCTGCGTGTAAATAATTTTGTTAGATCATACAAATAGTTACGTAAGGCGCTAAATGGTGACAAATACTTGCAAAAAGTTTTGATACTCTAACCTTAAGCATCCAATATAATTATTTAAATAGCCTAACATCTAATTGTTGTTATCTATATCTAGCTAAATTCTCAGATACTTTAGCAAAATTGTTCTTCCTTTGTTCCGCGAATGTCTCCAACTGTGACTCACGGTGATTAATCAACGACTGTTGAGATTTATTATTATTCATCGGAGAGCTTAGTCCGTTTTCCTCTTTTTTCTATTTTTTTTTACTCTCTCTCTCTCTCTCTCTCTCTCTCTCTGTATCTCTCTTTCTCTTTCGCGCGCACGTCACTTCTACTTGTGTGACTGGCATTGATAATAGTTCCTTGTAAAAGAAACCAAGCTGGGGAAAATTACTGGACTGGACCAGTTGAAATTCGACTGACAGTCAAGTCTAGTGAAACGTGTCGCTGCCGACATAGCCGGGATTCTTATTTGATCGAATCCGTTTTATCGATCATAAAGCTGTCATGACGACGACATTGCCTCTTGCGTAATGCGACTTGGAAACGTGACTCGATGGAGGTACCTTTGCCGAGCATCGAGTTACTCAGCGGCTTGCTCGGTAACTTGCACATACAACGTTCCACAATCTTGTATTCGGAGCAACTTCGCGATCGATATTATGCAATCACGTGACGAGCACTATTTCGTACTGCAAAATTCTCTCGTGTTCTTCGCATTCTTGTTTATTCGGAAAATAGTCAGATACGTCTTTTTTGATTGGTCTTGTTTACTCTTTTACATTTCGAAGCACGCACGGGAAGAACGATTTTTCTGAAATATCTAAAAAATTTAGCTAGCTCTGCACCGAAAGGAACGCTTTTGCTGAAGTATGTATTGTAAAAATTTAGCTCTCTAGAGACAGATCTGAAAATATTGTTGAGCCAAAACTTTGTTGAGCCATCAGAATATAGAACCTTTAAACTAATTGCTAGAATGCTAAAACTTTTCGCAACACTGCTCTTCATTGCTTGAAATTTCTACATAACGATTTTCATGATTTGAAATCATTTTCAAATCTACGTCTAGCTAAATCTTTAGATATTTCAGCAGAACCATCATTTTCGTGTACGAATCTGAAAATAATTTTATCAGGCTATTTAAACGTAATTTATGTGGAAGAACATAATGAGCAATGTTGCATAAACTTTTGACATTTAGCAATCAACTTGAGCATCCTACGTAATTATTTTGATAGTCCAACAAAATTGCTTTTAGATCTGTGTTTAGCTAGAAAGCTGATTTTCCCAGTCGATCTTGTTCTAATAACGTGGAATAATACGAAGTGATTTCCTCGAATTCAATGTGGAGCCGCATTAAAGATGCCTGAATAATCATTAATTTATTTTTGTCAACATTAATCAATAACAGTCATAACAGTATTAATGATAACAATAGTGAAGCGTCTGTGTTGCGTTGTCGCATAGAATATATGCGATGCATTTTCGAAAGCAAAAACTGCTATTCCGAATTTTTTTCGGACAAATCACTGGCAAACGTTTTATTTTTCCACTGAAAGACGTATAATATGCATCTGAATTCCACTTCTGACATCGCTAACAACAATAGCGCCTTTATGTTGGCTGGCGCTGTAGCTGTTTCTAATTCATAGCGACGTACGTGTAAGTATGCGAAGGAACGAGACGGGAATTTGCGGTTGGTTGTTCTTTGAGAAAAGCCATACCAGGTCAGAGCGCTGAAAAGCTGCAGTTTTTGGCCATCGATACGCCTTTCCTTCCTTTTTCCCTCTCGGGCTCCGATGCATTTGTTCCGTCTGCAAAACGTTCCGTTTTAACGAGCGAACTAGATAAAGGGGCGGGGCGGGGAGGGGAGGGGCCGTGTGATTTCGTCCCGATATCGTTTCGCGTATGCCGAATGATTTATGAGGCAACGCGTTTTTCCCCCGCGTCCACTTGCGAGAGAGATTAGTTCGCGGAGCGATGCGTACGGGCGGTTAAAAGCGGTGCGTGCACGCACATAAATACGCGTCGTGTTGCATTCTGTATTTCGTCACGCCGCATGATAAATATTTTACATCGCTAGCATTAAATCGCGCAAACACTTTCTCGCCACGCCCCGTGCCTGCGGCGGAACTTCCGCGTTTTTCGAATCGGGAAATCCGGAAATTCCGTGCGGAAATTACATGAGGTTTTGGGCAGCAGCGGTCCCGCGATTACAGAACCCGCATAATGCCGAAAAACAATCGACTACTCGTAAACATGCACAATGCCTCCCTCTTGGAATTCAGAGCCAGTTGCATTAATCGGCTTTAATTAACTCGCCGCGTGTACCGTGGCGTGGAAAAAAAAAATATATCGTTGCTTTACGAATAATAAAATTTAAATGAACGATACGTTACGGTACCACAAGTTCGACCGAATTAATAACTCTCGAGTATGAAATAAACTGGATTTGAAAAAGTTTATCATTTTTTTTCAATAAATACGTATTGCAACGTTGAAAGAACAAGTGCAGCTATACATATAAAGCACGTTCCATTTGGTTTTTATTTTCTTAGAAAACGTGGTAGATAAAAACCCAAAGGAGGGGGCCTAACAAAATGTTAATTCTCCATCAGCAAAGTTAATCTTTAAAGGCACATCAGTTGATATTTATTTGTAAATTTTGATAGATAAATTTAAATCTGCAAAAAAGTAACTAAAATAATCCAGTAACTAAAGTAATCCAACTTTTATGATAGAAAAAAAACTCGTTGTTTAAACTGTGTGTTGTCACAAGAATTTTTAAAAATTTTTACATTCCAGAGCAATATGAAAATCTGCACTGAGGCTCGACGACTCACATTGTTACGAAAGGTGTAAAATTCCGACGGAAGGTTTAAAATTGTTATACGCGGAAAGCTAAAGCTTTGAAAAGTTAAAAATTTAGCTAGACGTAGCTCTATCTACAGATCAGAATGTTGGATCACGTAAATAATTATGTAGAACGTTTAAGTATCGATGACAATGTTGCAAGTTGTGACATTCCAACAACTTTAAACGTTCTACACAATTATTTTGATGATTCAAACAAAATTATTGTTTAAATCTGTATATCTAGGTTTTAGATATTTTCACAAAATTCTTCTTTTTAATTGACTCCTTCGTGTGAAATTAAATAATATTTTTCAATGAAAGTTTTTAAATTTATTTTTCTTCCTATTATAAAACGTTTACGTCAATCTGTGAGAATCCTTTGCTTTGTACTTATGACCGAGGCTTTATATCTGTGTACATTTCAAATAAACCAGTTGATTCCAGTCGTTAAGCGTGATTTACACGGGGCGACTTTTATTCGCTAGAAGCCGCCGTCTAGTGACGTCATAGCGAATTCGCTACTAAAAATTCTTCTAGACGTGGGTTTGTTCTTATAGCGTATAATCGCTCGGCGAATACCGCTTTCGACGCTTGTCGCTGGTTTGTCGCTATCTTGTCGCTGGCTTCTTGCTGCTCTTCCAGAGTGAATTTTTAAGTCGTCAGCGTGAAAGGACGAATTTTTCCGGAACGTCTCGGCCACTCGGACCATAAGCATCACAGAATAATCACGTCATTGAATGATATACTTCGAGCCGCTGTTCTGCTTTGTGACCAACTATTCGCTTGATCACCAGCGATCCCTTAAAAATTTGCGACTTCAAAATTTTAGTCGCTAGCGAATAAAAACGAAGCGTACCGAAGTACAGAAGAAGCTTTCATCGGCGAATTCGCGGACGAATTAAGAAGTTTGCTTCAAGCGAATAGCAGCAGAGTCGAGAGAATTAACTGGCGAATTAATGACGTCACTAGACGGCGGCTTCTAGCGAATAAAAGTCGCCCCGTGTAAATGACGCTTTATGCGAAAATATTGAGCTTTGCGAACGAGATCGCAAGATGCACGATAGGCGTAATGCGCCAATAAGATTCACTGCAAACGCTATTCTCTTTCTCTCGATTTCTGGCCTCTGATTGAGAAGGTGCCATAATCCTCGCGAACGAGACGCCAAGGTCGAGCATTCCTTCACCTCACTCAATTTGAACTTCTTTATTTGCCTCTTCGTTCGGCGCGCCGGTCTCCATCTCTTTCTTCTCTTTTCTCCTTTTCATCTCTCTTTCCGATTCTACGTGCGATCGTCCCCGCCGATTTCTCTTTTATTTAGCATCTCTTGGTCTGTCCTTCCTTCTTTCTTTTCTTTTTTGAGAACCGATATCTTATTGTTGGAAAAATGAGATTTCACTGTATTTCTCAAATACGGCGATTACTATCCATGAAAGAAAGACTATTGTGACTTTTACATTTGAAATATGTAAACTGGATGTAAAGTTGTGAATCAGCTTGACATTTATATGAATTTTAATAGAAATTTATACATTTACATTAGAATGACTATGATACATTAATTAAATAATCTAATTTGTACACTTGTTTCCATGCAATCTTACGTAGTTCTGTTACACTATATCTCATAATTTTATATTCCACGATTACTGAATGAGAATAATAACTCAATCGACCGAACTTGAATATTTTGGTCTGTGTGATTAATTAATTTTTTTCTCTATTTTTAATCATGTTTCTCTCTCGTTTTACCTGCTAAGAATAATTATTTATGAATAACTATTCTTTGCTGGTCGTTGCCAACAGTCTTGATTCGGTTCAAGCAAGTAAACAAGAAGTCTTCATAATATCACTGCTAAGGAATATTCCGACGAGTCTGATCGGTTTATCTATAATTAATGTTAATCTGATTCTCCTCATAGATATCTAACTGTCAATTGCGATGAATTATTCATTTCGATATGAATTACATCCGCGCGAGTACACCGAAATTATGGATACGGATTTCCGTTTACGAAGTCTTCTCAATTACACACAGTAATGCATATTATTTATGTTCTGCGTTAATAATTCCCAAATCCTTCCGCGTTCCTCTTACGCCATGGTTCGCAGCGTGCAAGCTATTGATCTTTGCACTAAATTGAAATCCATGCGAAATAATCTTCGAGAAAGTTAACGATATATGGAATATATTCGATTATGATATGAAACTTTATTCCAATCGTAGAACGTCTCCGTAAATAGTAAAAAGACTTATTGTTGAATAATTGATTTTAAATTAATATTTGACATTTCCTTTTAATAACACAATCCATGAGTAAGTAAACAAATAATGCGGCTTTAAAACGTAAATTCCATAATAAATAAATAACAATTGAATTTACATGTTAACTGAACATATTATAAATGTTAATTTTACTGAAGAAATTCGTTTTCGCAATATGTTAATTCCACGTTATATTAAAATGTTAATTTTTATATTAATTTTTGCATAATTGTTACTTCTTAACGCATGCATCTTGTGCTTAAATTAACACAAAAACTTGGATAGATCATTTAAGACGCGTGAAATGTGTTGTTAAATTTAACATAAATTATCCATTATTTGTGTGATCTTAAGTGACTTTCTTCAGTAAGGATGCAAAAAAGGAGTGATATATTTTCAAATGACGTTGCAAACGTCCTTAATTTGCGGTTGTATTATGTCGCTATGGACATATAATTAGAAAACTTCCTGTATTTAATAAGTAAACTCGGTATGACATATTCGAAACTCCGATGAGATATGGATATGCGCGAATGAATTCAATATATATAAATATCGCGTATGTATAATATCGCGATTCGTTGTTGAAAGCTCGGTGCACATATAGAATCTGCGGTGGGTTCTGGAGGAGGAATTCCGAATAGCCGACCCGTGGTCCCAGGGGCTCCAAAATCTTTGCCAGGTGTGCGGGAACAGCTGCTCTCTCACCGCGTTGGGGATATGTGCAAAACTTCTTTCTATACGCGCTGGCACGAGATGCATTTTATTTAAAGATGACGAACGCGAAATAGATTTATTGCCCTGCCCGAGCAAGGCGCATTTCGCCAGCCGTTCTCCATCATTTTTCTTTCCGATAGATACAGTTAATTGCATACACGTTGCGAATTATTTGTATTTTTATAAATTACGAAGTGTGTAAAAATATCTAATAAACGATACTGATTATTAACTTCAATTTAATGTTTACTCATAAAACACTATAATAATTTTGTTAAGATCAATGAGTCGAGTATAAAATTTGAATTTTTTTATATTTATACACAAAGTACATCATTAAATTTAAATAAGCACTTTTTGTCCTATTAAATGTATGTTTTAGTATTTTTCTTCAACCTATTTTTCCTCATTTTCCTATTTACAGAACATTTTTTCAATTTATTTCTCTATATGTATGTATATAGCATTCTTTTTATTTTTTTTCTACGTATACATATAAAATCCATATATAATATCAAAAAATTAAAAAGATGCTATTCTATAAATACGACGGTGGGAAGAAATGAGTTAAGTAACAATAAATTAAATTGATTAATTTTTAAAAATTAATAGATCTCTTAGAACGTTCACTCAATGAACAAAAAAAAATCGTAATGACGCTGTGGTACTTCGGGCGAAAGATTTTCGAATCTAAATAAAATTTACGAATGTTTCTAGAATATGAACAACGGAATCCATCGATCCCCGAAGTGGAACACGAAAACCATCGCGTAACCTGTTTCGTTTACCAGCTGGCACGGTCTCTTCCGGTACAGGAAACGTACGGTTGCTTCGGAAAGTGCCTAATCGTGTCTACCAGACGAAACTGCGACGACTCTGAGGGAAATCACTGTAAATCGAATCGAGTACACCGTTAGTTTAAGCAGAGAGAGAGAGAGAGAGAGAGAGAGAGAGAAACACAGGAACGTATTTTCATATCCTGAAATATAACTATATCGAACGAGTTGATGACGTAGTTTACCAAATAATTAAACTAAGCCAACCGATTACATAGCCAAAATTCTACAAATGGTAATTCTGCCAATATTACGCGCGAAATCGAGCGACAGTGTTACGCGATACATTACGAGACGCGCTTTTCCATGTATTTGCAATATCGTTTTCTACGCGAGATGTAACTTTCGCAACACAACCGCAACCACGATTCTATCCAGCGCCGTTGCCGGAAACTCAACACCGACCACATCTAACGTGTCCACAGTTTGCACAGTCAAATCTTACTTTCTCGCTCGCAGGCGCACCTTTTTCATTGAGTGAATTTCTCCTTCCTTTTTTGCTCTCACTTTCTACAAATACGAGCGAACGTATTGCATCGCAGTAAACGGGAAATCCTGTTCGGACTCGTGCGAAGTTGGCCCTCAACTTTTGAAAAAATTAATTTTCTATAGCCGATTCGAAACCGTTTTTGTTACTTATCGTTTGCACATTTTGAATTGTTGTTCGCATACTTCTGGTCCAAAAGTTATTTAAAAAACAATTTGGAGAATCTAATTTTACACTAGTGCCCCAACCGCGAGTAAATTAGAAGATTTGACTAGACTCAATCGATAGATTTTTGTGTTAGCATTCCGAAACAAGTCGATTTTTCGTTTACATCCTTTAGTTAAAAAATTATTATTAAAAAAACGTTATTAAATAAATGTTGAAGGTTCAACTTTATCAGAAATACGTTATCGTCTCGAATTCAAAAGAAACAAGTTTGTCATAACTTTTTAGTTAAAAAGTTATTAACAATTAAAATATCGAGGACAGTCGACTCAGGTAGATAAGTTCAAATCGCAGTTACTATACTCAAAGTTACGTTGATGAATTTATCTACCTGATTCGACCGTTTTCTCGACTGTAACTGTAATTGTTAATAATTTTTAACTGAAGGTCTTTTAACTTTAAATCTAGTTTGCTCGTGGTTGAGGTTGGTGGCTAATGTGAAGTTAGCCCCCTCAAAATTACTTTTTTTAATAACTTTTACACTAGAAGTGTGCAAACGAAAATTCAAAATGTGCATGCATGTGTGCAAACGATGAGCAATCGAAGTGAGTTAGAACAGAAAGTTAATTTTTTAAAAAGTTGGAGCTCCAACTTTACACGGGTCCTGTTCAGTTAGACTTGAGAACTTTGCGTGACTAATCATTCAGCCCTTTTCGTCCTCTCTCTCTCTCTCTCTCTCTCTCTCTGCGTCTGTGTGTACACGCGTGTGTTAATTTACAATCGTTATTTTATTCTAGCTTACGCGAAAATAACGGGATTTGAGGAACGCAATTGTGTTGCGCTTCTATTTTATTACTCGATAATTTTTGAGGAAATTGCAGGCGTAGATAGGAGGCTTATTAAGGCCTAACAATGTCGTTATTAAATCGCTAATTATACTATTATATTTATGTCTGAAGCAAGCGAGTGAATGTGCTCTTTTCCGCCGTAACTTGGACACGTCCCGAAAGAAAAAGCGACGCAACGTACACACGAGTTCCGTGGAAATGCATTTCGTGCCGAGCACATCGCGTCTGCCGCATCTGCAGTCTAAGGTCATTGATGCGACAGTAGGCAGACAGGCCAGGCAAGCAGGCGGCCTGCAGTCCCCAGAGTAAGAGATCGTTGTACGAGCGCACGTCGTTGAATGGGCTCTTTGTGTCGGCCTGACGACGATCGCGAACCGCGGCTATGGCGCCGACGCCGGGGGCTTCCCCGGGCCTTTCCCTCGGGCCTTTCCTTCGGGCCTCGAGACTCCGAGTGTCGGATCGGCGGCGATCGAGAACGGCGAGCGGTCGGCAGAGAGAAGGGTTAAGCCGTTAGTCGAGAACCGGTGCCGAATTGACCCCGCCCGAGTGCATTAGACGATGCTGATGGCCGACGTTGCAGTCTCTCCGCGAGAGACCGTACCCGATCCCGCCGTGTCGTTCGTTGTAACGCGCGATACGCATTATTACGGTCTCGCATTATTACGGAACGACGATCAACAGCTGTCGCGTGGCCCCGCCACGTATGGGGTGCGAGAGGGGAGGTAGAAAGGGTCTGGCGAGACTGGATCTGCACGAGAGCTACCACCTGGCCCCAGCACAGACCATCGGGTTTCCATTACCACGTGGCGGTTACCGTAGCGGAGATCCGATTCGAACCCGTGCCTTCGCCACCTTCTCGTGCTCTCGACTCTACACGGAAAATTAGAGAGGGAGAGAGAGAGAGAGAGAGAGAGAGAGAGAGAGCAGAGAAGCACTATAACAATATATTGTGCGCAGGACGATTAAGGGTGCAAACGTGTTATCAACCATTCCTCTAATTCTAATACAATATATACCCTACCAGGAACGTCGTCATTTTTCGAGGGATAACAGATAGCAGTTATGCGGTTTTTTCACGGATGATAAATTCTCAATTTCTACTCTTGGCCTCGAAACGAAGTGAGTACAGATTTGCCGAGGAATCTTCATTAAAGTATAATGTGCGGAAAATGAGGTATTACGGGATACATGAGTATGCGCGTGCGCGGGAGTCGGATATGAGACAAAAATCACGTTATGCATGTAAATATGTCAGATTAAACTACTAATATAAATGTCGTGCCATATTATATATCCTCGTACACGCAGGGGAGCGACATTTGCGCAGAGTTATCCGCCAAACGTATTTTATCCGATTAAACGCAAACGGTCGCTAAAATTCGTAATGGTGCCCTGGAAATGGTATGCAGTATTTTTGTATCGTATCTTTCGCCAAGGAGGGAGAACGAGGAGGCGGTGAAGGGTAGGATGGATCGATTCATAAACAAACTCAACGGTAGCCAAAGAGACGACTCACGTGATACTGCGGTCCGATTGACGTCTTTTGCAAATAATATTCGCAACGAGAATGACATCTTGTCAGATTAAATCTCTTTTTATTGACTTAAGAAATTCTTCCTCCTGTCATAAAATACCGTTAACGCCGTTACAACGCATTGTAACGCAAATAATTGTATTTGAATCTGAGGCCATTAAAATTATACGATTTTTTTCTCTCTTCTCAATTAACAATCATCATCTTTTCCTATCACATCGGTCTCGTTGCCGTCGGCATCTAACATCGGTTCGTGTCTCATCAATCTGTAGCGATTGTCGAGATGAATGGCCGGCTTCCATGGTTTAAACTGAATCAACTGAAACAGATACGAGAGAAATATTTTTAAAAACGTAAATATTGTAAAGAACTTACTTTCACATAATCTTAACCCTCAATCGGCAATGAAAATTTCACCCTTTGTCCACAATTTCATTTTCAAACTTTGACGTACATTTTTATATTGTTCCAGACTGTATATATATATATATATAAATCTGAAAAAATTCTTATATATTACTTGTGAAAGTTTTAACAGTGAATTTTTATTAAATGCTGGATTGTAGTTTACTAATTTTTTACTTATTCTTTTTTTTACATTCAATCTATCATTCTTCATAGATTAAATTCACATGTCAGAATTTACAATAAAACATTGACTGTTCATTTAAAATTCAACATTATCGAAAGGTTAAAATCGTGATAATTATCAACATGTGAGCGCAAGTGTTTTAACAATGAATGTATAGATTTAATGTTATTATTTTATACAACAGGTGTATGAATGCACATGTTATTTTCCTGTTAACGATTATACCATATTTAAATATCAGTTAAAACAAATACAAGAGAGCTATTTTTCGAAATATAAATTGTAAGGAATTAATTTTTATACAATCTTAATAGCATAATAATTATCAACATGTAAATACTCTGACGATGAATATATAGATTTTATTTTATTTTGTATTTTATACGGTGGGATGTATGATATATGATGTATGAATCCGCGCGTTATTTTCCAGTAATGATTATATGATATTTAATAATTCACAGCATTCCTTATATTGTATCAGTCTGATTAATTGAATCGATCGATTAATTGAAAATAATAACTTTGTCAAGTCATTATTATTTAACAGTTCTTTGAACATTGATCGATGCCTATCTACCTATCCGTTTTATCGGACATTCTCTCTTCTTGAAATATATCGAATTTTCGCGAGCGTGTCTTACGTTTAACATGACGTGGATTTTTTAATGAACGACGGGAAAGAGCAGCGAGGACGATGGCGCATTATCGTTCAAAAGTCAACGCGACAGTCATACAGTGTCGTTACCGAAAATCCTGGCGACGTCGCTCACAATAAGCCGCTTACCCAGTGTACTACTATCCTCTTTTGCAGCCCCTCCGGACTATGGAGTTTCTCGTAGCCACACGGTTGTCAATATTAAACCGAGTCACGTTTCGTATGCCAATGGTGACAATAGTTACAGGGACTATTGTGACCTTGGTGACATCGTTTAATTGTTTAGCAGTCTCGACTCAGTATCTCTCGCCTCAAATCGCTGGATCGCCAAATAACATTGCACAGAGATCGGAGATCATTCGTGAAGCAACAACGTATCTTCTACTTCTACTCTCATTTTATATCTTTACATTAAATAAAGGTGCATCATTATTGAAGGGTCTTGTCTTTATCTCGCGGTCGCATCAACGCGAGTTCCTTGAAAAGCGACGAGACATCGTCGTCGATAAGAGATTTTTCGAATTCGATGGGCAAGCGATGAGGACGCGCCTACGTGGCATTTTTCGTATTTACCGAGTCCTTTTGTGCACGCGAGGGGATGGCGTGATGAAAGGCCCCGGGCTGAACAAAAAGTACAAAGGCTATCTCGGAGTCGGGGCAATGGCCGTCGACTTCGCACCCTTTCCCCCGCTATAAATGAGATTCGTTGTGTAGTACCTCTCGTCGAGTCCCCCCCGCGAAAAAGTTCGTTTCTCTATCGTTGAAATAATGACGGTCGAAGAGAGCCAGACTCGCGTATCTCGGGATGGCGAGAGAGATCGGCACTTTTCGCGCGCGTATCTTAATTCCGTCGCGTTAATTAATTCCGCGAAGTTCACTCCGCCCGCCGCGACGATGACAGGCGACGGTAACAAATCAAGAGGAACGAAACGATCGGGACGAGATGTGCGCGCCCTACTTTTGCCGAGAGTCGAATTTTCAACTGTGGGTGAAAGCGTGACGACAGTCGTTTACGAAACTTATCGGAAGCACAATCAGTGGATCGGCAACGATAACAAGATTGGCAGCAAGAAGGAGATTTGCCTGAACGTGTCCGCTCCGGTGAAAGGTCTTTGCGAGGCGTTTTCCGCGAGGATGTTTGAAAGAGCGAGAGGAAGAGAGGACGAGAGAGAGAGAGAGAGAGAGATTGATCTTTATCATTTATTAGCTTCAATAGCTACAATGTATGGGATACAATCTAATATATTTATCTATTTATTAATTATCCAAACCGCCAGGCTTAAACATCCCATACATTGCACTGTTTCTCTTCACTCCTCATACATGGCACTCTCTAGAAGTTTTTTAATCTTTTTTCCTTCCTTATTTCATTAGGTAAATTGTTGTACATTTTCAACCCGTCTATCGTATAACAACATTTTCTGTTTTAATTTTACATCTTTTAATATATATATATATTTCCCTCTGAATTTGTTTGTACTCTTTTCTCCCTTCTTAGCTGCTCTATCTCATTTTTTAATCTGGACAATCTCCATCTGCCATTTTATGTATCAGAATACAAACATTGTATTCAGTTCCTTCCCTAATTGACATAAATTGCGAGAGAGAAAGAGAGAGAGAGAGAGAGAGAGAACAGGAGCAGCACGAAAGGCGCGCGCGCCCGTGCGCAACATCGCCGAATATGGATTTAATGCAGCACGATGGAAATCGAATTATGTCATTAGAAGCCACAAAGGAGACACTCGCGTGGAAACCTTTGCAAAAGCTTCCCGTAAGCCAAATGCCTGACCCGAATACACCACGGGTCTTCGCCGACCGGCTTGTTCAATCGCTGTCAGGTTTTTTTTTTATGGTTTCCGCCGCAGATCGAGTAACTCAATTGCGTCTAGAAGTATATCCTCCCCCCCTCTTTTTTTTTTTTGACAATTTAATCGATTCGTTTTAATTAAGGAATATTCCAATTAGGAATATAACCAAAAGAGTTGATTTTCTTAAATTAACACACAGCAACGTCCGCAAAGAAACGTTATTTCCATCAAAACGGAACTATTAATCGATCGTTGATTGCGCAACTTTTTCTTGACACTTAATCTGTTTTCGTAATTAAAGTCTCAAAGGCTCGCGAATAACGCTTGAAAATCGTACGACCTCATTTATTCGACGCGGCCGGTTCCCATAAATTTTCGTTAAAGTTAATTGAGATTTAATCAATCCTTTATCCCGTCCTAGTTCTACTTTCAGGGAGAAAACGGCAAATCTGTTGAATTATGATTAACGTTAATTAATATTTACGAGAATAGTCGAAAACAATATTCCATAATTCGATCAGTATGCGAACAATGGAATCTTCTTTCGTATTTGACTAAAGTTATGCGGAACTATGCTGTAATCGCATACACACACGCACGCACGCACACACATACGTACACGGAGTACAACATGCAGATGATGTTGGTTTGCTGTTTGCTCGCCCTATAAGCTCCGACACTTTGGAAAATGTTTGTTATACGTGTGCCCTGAATCGACTGATCAGATTCCGATAGACTTTGTACTAAATATCTAATATCCGGTGAAGCCAAGGCACGAGATTTACGGTATATTCTCGTGTCCTAACTCCACTGGCCGCCGTTACACACACACACACACACACACACACATATATATATATATATCCCATTCGTCGATAAGTTGTGTCGCTTCATAATGCACATGCGACGTACTAAAACATGACGCCTGACGTCACAATGTGCCGAAAGGCACTCTATTGCAACTTTTTAATCTCGAGAGAAGCAATAAAGTATCGAGCTTCGGGAGCACGAGCGTTTACGACGGCGGCAATAATTCAAGGGTATTCCGCGCGAAAAGTTAGCGAGGCGCGATCGTCGCTCGAAGGATTTTGTCCGAGGGGGATGTTTAATTTAATAAATAACGAAGGCGAACGATATTCTCTCGCCCGCGTCTTGCGCGCGTCTCCGATTGCCCGAAATGATTAAACGTGCCGGATTCCCGGGTGCCGCTACGTTGTATTTTGCAGACCGTTGTCTACCCCCTACGGCGTATTGATCTCTCGGGGGATGATTTTTAAGACGAGTTTCGCGCCAAGTGCCACAGATGGCATCACTTTGCAGTCGTCGAGTTCGTAGAAACCTTTCAATTTATATTTATTATGCGCCGTTTGACTCGAAATACTGCACGAAGTGCAGTAAATATCGCGAATAAATATTCCCGAATCAGTCGTGCGCAATTAGCAATGTACAGCAATATTTTCCCCGGCACGTTTTATCGTAATTCCGATTAAGTTTAGTTATTGTATGTTACATATTTTTTTTATATTTTATACATATTTGTACGCTGCATAAATATTTAGTATGGATGCACGGTTTTTATTTGCACCCATAATTACGGAGGAACGTATGAAATGATAGTGAGTCGAGAGACGGGAAAGTATTGTAATAATCAAATTATTTCACATCCGACAATAAAAATGGTGTACCCCGGAAAAAAAAGGAAGAAAAAAAATTAAGGAGCATTAATTCTCATATAAAGCCTTTCCTTAGTAGTTAGCTCGCAGCAAGTTCGTATTAACTTGGTATTTATACGCCATAATAATTAATAAGAGGCAGACATAAATAACGGAACTTTCTAGTACAACGTAAACTTCTGAAAGCTCACTTTGCGGCAAGGCGTTTTTATTATCTCCTCGCGTAGCACGATATTACGAAGTTTGGAGGAAAGGTCCTTGCTACGTGTCGCGCGATAAAAATATAGAAACCACCGCGTATAGTCATCTCGATTACGGTTTACCGTTCCGTCCTGTTTCACGAACCGGCAAGAATGATTGTCGCATTTTATTTTGAATTGACAACTTTATACATATCGAGACACAGATTTCCGCCGTATCTATCGCAGCTGTCGAGCTCGCCGAAACTATTGGGTTGTTCGGAAAGTAATTTCGTTTTTTTCCCAACAGAGGACTTAATTGTATTTTTCACAGCCAATTTCACACTTAAGCCGCATAATCATTATATATTTTGACAGCTGATATAGCAAGGCTTGCTTGTGAAAAAAG